TGGTTTGGACATGTCCAGAGGAGGGACAGTGGTTTGGACATGTCCAGAGGAGGGACAGTGGTTTGGACACGTCCAGAGGAGGGACAGTGGTTTGGACACGTCCAGAGGAGGGACAGTGGTTTGGACATGTCCAGAGGAGGGACAGTGGTTTGGACATGTCCAGAAGAGGGACAGTGGTTTGGATATGTTTAGAGGAGGGACAGTGGTTTGGACATGTCCAGAGGAGGGACAGTGGTTTGGACATGTCCAGATAAAGAAAAAACTCCCTCATGACAAAGAAACCTCCAGCAGATCCAGGCTCAGGACAAGCGTCCCTCTGCAACAACAGAGTCCGTGACTAAGGAGGACAAGGATGACGACTCTGAAGAAGACAACTAAATGTTCACAGTTGTTAAATAATAGTAGTTATGCAGCTAATGAACAGCTGAAGCAGGTTTATTTCTGTCCAGCAGCTTGTTTGCTCTCAGATGGTGTTTATAACAAACAGCATCTTGTTTTGTCCCTCACAGCAGCTGTGCAGAGCTGCTGATCCGTCTCTGTCCTTCGGATCCAGACGGCACCAGAATAACCTCCGAGCTCATTGATCTGTTTTAGTAGTCAAAGCACCGGGAGTCGTTCAGTCATCGGGACGTTTCTGCAGCTTAGATGCCCTTTAAACACCTTTAATCTCTCTGGGAGTGTTCAAAGAGCTCGTAATAAACGGATGAATGTGTTTTTGTTGGCGATCGGACGCTTCATTTTAAATGTTACTCACTGAAGCGGCGCTCTGTCACACCTACGTCTGTTTCGAACCTGCAGGGACTCTGACACAAAACGAGATGGTGTTCAAGCGTCTCCACCTGGGGACGGTTTCGTACGGCACCGACACCATGGACGAGATTCAGAGCCACATTATTCAGTCCTACGCACAGGTGAGCAACCGGTCCCTTACCTGCAGCTGCCACAGGGGGTCCATTTAAAACCATCACTGAATGACTTGGAGCGGACACTGGCTGCAATCTGCAACTTTAAATACAAAGACATGAGCTAAAATGAGTAAAGGACACCAAAATGAGCAGAATAGCTAAAGGTAGCAAATTACTAGCTAAAATGAGCTGAACTGTTCGTTTTGGCACTGTATAGTTGGGATTGTTGAAGGAATCAGCTGAAGAAGTCAGAAGAGTAGCTGAAACTGTCAGATTTCAAAAAAGACAAAGAAATCGATGAAAACACTTTAGAGTTCTAGACAATTAACCAGAGTTTAATCTGAGCCGGATGCTGTCGGACCAGGAACACTCTTATTTTGACGGGGTGTGTTCCGGTAACTGTTTGCTTAGATCCGGTAACTCTCAGGCTTACTAATAATAAAGTTATGAACAAATATCACTGCCTTGAACAAATAAAACCTATGTTGGATATGTACTCTGCAATCTGAAAATAATTACATAAACACTCATTTTAAACACAACAGCCACTGACATACTTCCTAATGTCACATCAGAGCTGCTCCTTCAGGTAAGCATTTCTGCTTCTACCCTTAAAGTGCAGTCATGAGCAATTTAATTAAAAACACAAAAATTTAATTAAACAGCACAGCTAAACTGAAAATCTGTTTTACAGTTAAAGTGAGTCATTAATAAGATTTAGATTTTTTTAATTAAAAATATGAGAGAAAGGGTTAGGATGCTTGAGAGAAGTAGAGTGTGCTTTATTCACACAAGGAGAGCTGTAGGTCAGGCAACATGTTGTTGCTCTCTAAAATAGTTGTTGGATCACGTGTTTACCCGTTAAAATACACCAGAATGCAGGAAATGACATCTGCCTTATTCAGAACTTCCTGGGGGAGGACCCCAGACCCCTCCCTTTGCATTCTGGCATCGTTTGCTTTACAGATTAAGCACTGCAGGCGTCCTAACTGGGAGGATAAAATATGTTGTATCATGAGAAGAAGACGTGTCACCGATGGAGCCGCTCACTTCCTGCGCTCAGACGAGTTTTCAGAGTCCGGCGAGCAGCAGAACCAAGAGACGTGGAGAAAAGCTCAGCTGCTCCCACATCTTCATCCACACATTGTGTGGGACATCTTTATCAAAACGTGCGAAGATGTGCCGAACGTGAAGCAGCGATTATGTTAGACGTGAAGTTGTAGCTTTTACCCTCTGCACGTCGAGCAAGGAGCTCGCAGGTCTCAGAACCACCGCAGTCTGTCCTTGTTGAATGCAAGGGTTACACAAAACATCTTGTTTGAGAAAGAGATTAAACACATGGAAAGTTCAACTCTGAAAGGAGTTTGGACTTTGAAATCCTGCGGCTGGGTGTGAAGGTGTGAAGGTGTCCGTCAGCGCTTCCTCACATGGTTCTTATCAGCTGGAGCCTCAAAGCCGGCCCACCTTTTCAGGTGTGGACAGGTACGGGCCTGTCACGGCCGCTCCGAGGTCATCAGGAAGGTGGTTTGTGCCTCTGTGTCTTCTGAATGGACCAAGACTGTGAGAAGACGAGTCCTGGACTGCAGTGTCTGTGAAGACTTGAAAAGACCAGAAGGACGCATGGAGAGACAAAAGGTGACAGAAAGAACTCACAGAGAGAGAACGGGTCATAAGAAGACAACGATGGAGCAAATATGCAGAGCAAGATTTTCAAAAAGTTTTGAATGCTTTGAAGAGATCTTTAGGAAATGTTTAATAAAAGTTTTCCAAACAAAACGTCTCAGAACTCGTCTCAGAACTCGTCTCCTGAACGAGCCGAGCGTTTTGATGAGTCCAACGTGTTGCTTCCAAAAACACGTGGAGAAGCTTCATAAAGAGAAACGGGATCGAGTCCTGCACTCTGCAGTCTCACAGTGACGGTTGTTATTTTAGTAGGAGCAACGTGAAGCCGTACGTTCAAATACAAACTCAACTTACAACAATAAAGCAACAGTGCCAGAATAATACGAACATCTGGAACATAATTCAGTTTCAGACCCTCTGGACTCACGGCGCTCGTTTGGAACTCGTCTTTATTTTTGTGTCTTACATGAAACTGACGTTAGGAAGAGCTGCACGTTGGTTCTTTAACCGCCCTGAGAGGACCTGAGTGTGGAGAGCAGCTGGAGCTCAGGGCTTCATGCTTCTTCTCGTCTGAGGAGGATGGAGTGGACGTCTTCAGTCTGAGGAAGAGGAGGATGGA